TACTCCGCGCCCGTCAATTATGCGTGAGTCAAGTCAAAGACAAACTTAAGAGAAACACATCTGTTTGTAATCACAAAGTCTCATTCTAAGGTAAATACACAAAGCTAGAAGCTCGAGCAAAATGTGATGGATCTACATGGTTAGTACAAAGACGGTACGTAATAATACCGCTTGTTGAACGTTTTTTTTTCTTTTTCTTCAAAGATACAAAGAGCAGACGTCAACAAAATATCTTGCTGTTAGTGCTCGGATATATAATACAGTTACGGGAACAAAATGGAGATACCTGCCTCTGGCCAGTTCTGTGTCCACGCAAACTTACAACGCTAATGATCTCATCCTTCGTTATGTTTGGAAAATATATCACAGAAAAAGGTAAGATTTGCTAACGAGTATCTTTTTCTTTCTATTTAAAATATACGCCTTCAGGTTTCGCAATATACCGTGATAACGTCGTTGTTAAAACGCTAAAGTACAGTTATTTTTCTCTCTCTTTTTCGAGATTTTTATTTATCTGTTTCTCGATATTGCTAATAAAAAGCGGTAAGTGTTGAAACACGCGCATAAATGTCACGCCAAATTTCACGTGGATTTTATACTTTGCAAGCTTTGCGAGCTTTAAATCCGTATGTTCGAGAAATATGTACAGGTATACACATACATAATGTTTAAGTATATAAACTCAATTATTTTTTAAAATAATGGTTATAAAAAAATTTTTTTAATAAAAGTTATTTCGTTTAAGAAGATCTATATGATAATTCAAACAAAAGTTTTAAAATTTGTTCAAGTTGTTTTTAACAACAGTTTATTTTATTTTTTTAAATAAATTAATATCTATTTTATTAGTTTTTTAGGAGAGAGAGAGAGGGGGGGGGCAAAGACTGAGAGAGAAAGAGAAGAGACAAATTCAATAATGTGCAATAAAGTGGTTTTCGATAGTTGTTCATGAGATATGTCGTCACTCGTGTTGCTTTTAGATATCAGCGAAAAAAACAAAATATTCATATTAAAAATTTAATAACAAAAATAATGCAACTTCCGTTAAGTCATTACATTTATCTTCTTAAACAAAATAACTTTTTCATTAAAAAAATGTTTAATTCTTATTTTTAAAAAATAATTGAATGTATACATTTAAACTGCGCACACCGTGTGTATACATATGTATATATATATATATATTTAAGAATTATATATCTATATATATATATATAGAGCTTGTGTAATATGCAAAATTTAAGAGATCGTATGTACAATGTCAAAAATTGTATTTGTTTGATGAAATTCCGTGAAAATAACTTTACAATCGTCAAACATAAAAACGAATACGATATGTACAAAATGTAGAATGCAGGCAAATTAGATAACAATAAAAATAAAATACTGCCAATACCTTTTTCACAACTATTTCTCTACACTGACAAAAAATTATTCATTAGAGATAAAAATGGCAATGCAAATCATATTCGACAAATATACGAAATATATTAAATAAAATACAAATTTGTACAAATTACACGGAATATATTTAGTTGCCTCGATTGTACCACAACTAACAATAAGCGGACCTGCATAAATTTGTGGTGCCTTCAATTAAAGTTTAAAACTCCATTGCGTAACTGCGCACTTACCTGGAGCACGATGCGACGCAATTGATATCTCGAGCATAGCTTCCGCGAGATCCTCTCTCAGTTGACTTTCGCAACTACCAACGGCCACGTTCTCGCTGTCCAGAGGATCACCGTAAGCCTCCATGAATCTCGGCGATTGCTCGTAACTGCCTGCAAAGTGCAACAGATCTTACTTTCTCGTAAATATAATCAACTTCTTTAATAGACTCCATTTTTCTTTCTCAAGAATAAAACGTGCAACTCGCAGCCTACGATTATTGCACTTACTTCCTGATCCGTCGATGACAACTGGCATCAACGGCCTGGATGCCGCGTGAGGCATATTAACGGGCTTCGATCTCGCTGGACGCGACCCAGTGATTCCAATCTCTACTGCCTCCGCTTCGACCAGATTGACAGCGACACTAGAAAAGATTAATTTTTCATTTAAATCCCAGTTGGATCCCGGAAAGATCATAATATAATTGACGAGAATCAAGAAACCAACCCGCTAGGTGCATTGTAAGTCTTAAAAACAAATTGTGGCCCCATCCACAATCGTCTGTGTGGTCCAGCGTGCGTTACGATCTCCACTTGACTCAACCAACGATCCTCGATCGTATCAAATTCCTGATTGTTCTTTGGTGCGAACGAAACACTGAGTAACGGGTTCGATAAAGACAACGGTGGGATGAGATCTGACGAATTGGGGGACCTACAAAGTGGCCACTGGCCCTTCGCCTCGACCTCCAATTCAATCGTGGTGTCGTCGCAAACTTTTTCCTTCGGCACACCTGAAACAGGCAAGAGCGAACATTAGATAACATGTATAAAAAAAAAAGAATTTTGAATATAAATCGTCTGATCTCTCTTTTGTAAAATGTACAATAATCTTTTTGTGATATACCAGCAGCTGGTTTAGGATCCAAGTCGTATTGTATCATGTTTCCATGGCACGCCATGATGAACAGAGAATCGACCGCTTTTTTGACCACCTTACTGCTGGACTCCCTTTGCGCGTACATCCAAGCTCTCGGCGGAGCGAAACACGCGCAGATCTTCAACGGTAAAGTCCCACTATCGTCAGAATGTAACCGTTGTCTCTGTTGCGGTCTGCTACAAGATATACACAATATCTTTCAATTATATCTTTTCATATATATATATATATATATATATATATATATTTATAACACGTTCTCCATGAAATTAATTTACCGCAAAACGCAATAACTACCTTGGTTGCGTGGAGCTGTTGACTTGATTCAGAGAAGACGGCTGTCGAATCTGCGACAGAGGATGTAGTATCGTTGGATGAGGATACGGAGGAAGTCGAGGATTTGAGTACGGATACACGGACATGGGTAGTTCCGTATGCGACACAGGAGAGTGGGATCGGGTACCGTCGTCCGTCAAGCCTGCACTTTTGTGGAATCTCGACAGTCTGTTGACGACATTGGGCGTGGAATGCGTCCTGACGCCAACAGGACCTCCGTAAGGCGCGACGGGAAAAACGTGTGTTGTACCTCTCACGGTTGAAATAGCGGCCCAGCGCGTATCACTCGAAAATACCATATCCTAATGCAGTAAACATATGATATTTTTATATAAACTCAAAAGAACTTTCTTCTATACGTATCTTAATTTTTTTCTATATATATTTTATCAATGTATCTTAAATCGCAATAAATATTGATAGCAATATAATATTAAAAATATTGATGACAATATAATATAATACCCAATATAACTCAATTCATATAAACTCAAAGAAACTTTCTTTCATACGTATCTTAAATTTTTTCTATTTATATATTTTAATCCCAATGTACCTTAAATCGCAATAGATATCGATAACAATATAATATCAAAAATATTGATGACAATATAATATAATATTCAATATAACTCAATTCATTATTTGTTAAATTACGTGGAATCTTGTAACTACATCATGTCGATAATAATTTCACTAGAATACGTAATTGAAATGTAAACAGCGAAAACGTACCTGTACTTTCGCGGTGGTATCGCCACGATGTAAAATATACAGATGATGCACCGCCGCCAGTGTCGGCCCACCGGGATGCGGCTGGATTCTAAATATGTGGAAGTCATGCCCTCTCTTGTCCGCGGTCATCAACAACGCGCCAGTCAAGTCGAAGGTCATGGCGACGATCGCGTCGCTGTGAGCGGTAAAATGAGCGATCACAGCATCCGCATTCGCATCGTCCAACTCCTTCTCGTCCTTCGCGATCTGAAGGTCCAATATCGTAACAACGCCCGGCTGCGTTATGTCGTTGCCCGCGTTATTGATAGCCATCGGCGACACCGAATTCCCAGTGAGACTCGACGCCACGGTTTCTCCTAATCCGCGGAGACCCTTCCCCAGCGATTTCGCCGCGTACAAAACGGTCGCCGTGTAACTTTGAACGCCTTCCCCTTCGCAACCACCGCTGCTTCTTCTCGCGGGTATCAATTTCTTCTCGCTGCAAATGTCACAAAGAAAGAGAGAGCGTATATTTTAGATCTAATAGAGATATACAATCGTGTTTTACGGAAGGCGATTTAAAATTCGATTTAGAAAGCACAAGAGACAAAATGCGGTGTAAAATTCCTATTACCTGTAAGCGAGCCATCGCGTTCCTAGAGAGACGGGGTTTGGATTCGGGCCAGGGCTGGCGTAGCATGTTGTGATTGTTATATTATTTTGCAATGTTCTGGCATCGAAGACCGCAATTTTTTCTAATAACGTTATAACCACGGACCGCCTGTTCGCCAGCACGTCGCAGACAGGATGCTTGAATCCCACGCTGTGCACAGGCTCGCCGGTTTTCAGGGAGATGAAGTTGACATCGCAAAATTTTGGTCCCGGTTGAGTCGAATCCGGCTCGGAGCAGACCGCTACCATCGGCCGTTTCGCTTCGAATTCGTCGACGTGTTCGTCATCAGTCTTTGGATTTGGTAGAATTCGAAGAGTACGAACCACGCCTTGCCGCCATGATAGGACCTCCGTCGCCTCTCCCGTCGCTGCTATCAGCCATACCTGTGCGTATTACGAAAAATCGATATTACAATTAAATGAGAATTTTTTAATTTTATTTAATATTGCCATGGATTTTATTTGCGACCTCGCGTCTGACAGACAGATCATTTAAAAATTCAAACATTTTGAATGTCGCGCGGTAGTTAATTTCACAACGACGAGAAATGCCTCAAATTGGACACGGTAAATGGACCGACCAATGTAAATAGGTTTCCAATTTCGAACTGCTGTAATAACCATTTACCTGAACGCCAACAGCATATCCTAATACCAATAGTAACGGTGGCGTACTGGAACCTTCATTGTAATCGGGATATAAAGCGGGGTCATTTATATCCGCGTATTCAAACCGCGCCCATGATATGGTTTCCTTATTATCGGAGTTGGACACTCCTGCGTACCCCTGCGAGCAATTACAAAGATAATAATACACTTGTGGACATTTGGATTATCATCATAGTGAGATGATTTCAATTAACTTATTGTATATATACCTGCGGTACTATATCATTGATGATCCCGGCAACACTGTCGATGATCGATCGATCCACTATAGGCTGAGGCGTAACGATTTGAGCTCCTTTATGCACACCTCGCCTTGGCGATTCCGCAGACATTTTTTATTCCCAAATTAATTTTATTTATCTGTAAAGATAGCAAAGTTTTGAGTAAAATATAGAAGCTCTAGCTTCTTAATTTATGCATTATATAAGAGCTTGTTGTATATCCTGTCGCATAAAATATAAGCTCTTGATGGACAAATCAATAAGATAGTATTTATATAAATATTTACTTAGATTATTTTCTAAACAAATATAAATAATTTTATTTTTAAATCTTATTTAATATTGCTATGAATTTTATTTGCGACCTCGCGTCTAATAAACAGATCATTTAAAAACTCAATAACATCTTGAACGTCGCACGATAGTTAAAAATCTTGTAAAATAATCAACATTAGAAAATTGCATTTGATAATTATATCAGTATATAAAATTTTCCATTGGGAATCACGCTTTATCAACATCGTCGAGATGCAAACGAATAATCTTATAGAATTAGAAAGAGTGTATCGAATACAAAGGGAAGATTTAGAATCGTGTGACGTTCACGAGATGAAGCAACACAGGGACGAACGGAGAGACAAAGGAGGACTCGCGTGTGCTCCTGCTCCGTGTATACACGTCTCTATATCGCGCGATTCGCGACGGAGCGGTCGACGGCAATGACGGCATTCGACGGTCAGGGAAACGTTCCGGATACGACGAAGAAAATAAAACCCGACCCGCTGCTCCCCCCCCTCCCCCTGCCCGCCGCACGTGCGGGCGCGCGCGCACCCCGGGGGGGAAGGGGGCGAGGGGAGAGATCATATATTTGCAACGACGAAAGAGACGCGTGTCGATCGCAACGTTCGCATAATTGTTGCGCGGAGGACAAAGAACCCACGTCGAGCAAGGTGTGTACCGCGCGTTCGTGGTGCGTCCGAGCTTTGCGGATCGCGGACATTTATACATTACTGCACGTTGCGACGCCGTCGTCGCGCGATCGTCGCCGTCGTCGTCGAAACTTGGAACGTTCCACGAAGCGTCGTCGTCGTCGTCGTCGTCGTCGTTACGCGGTGCATTATTCAACACGCACGAAAAGTGGGAAAGCGCATCGGCCTGGCCTGGTGTGGTAGAAGTAGTGGTGGTCGACGGTGTGTTGACGACGACTAGCAGTGGGAACGGAACGGAATGGAACGGGGGGGGGAGGGAGGCGGAGGTGGGGAAGGGGGAGTCTATTTTGCCAGCCGTCGTAGAAAGAAAGAGAGAGAGAGAGAGAGAGAGAGAGAGAGAGATGTTGTGTTGCACAACGCAGCGCACAGCTGTGCGCGGATTGCGCGCTCAGGGACAATCGACGGGAAAGTCACGAAACGGGAAGGCAGGAAAGGAAAGGGCGGTCGAGCGCCGAATGGCGCGTCGCGTATCGTCCCCCTGTAAACAAGCCCCGCGAATAACGTACAGTAGGGAAATTGAAAAACGAACTGACGAACGAACGTAACGCGCATTAAGTGTACGATTTATACGCGACGTACTCCCGAGCCGTTTACGCAATCGCGTTAAAAAAAGCGACGTGAACGCGCGTGATCGTCATCGAAGCTCCGAACGGTACGGTCGGCGGAAAGGGGAGGGAGGGAGGGAGGGAGGGAAGCGGAGAGAAAGGAGGGACGTAAGGAAATCGTCGGAGGGAACAAAGGGATCTCCGTCCGCTTATCGCGGCGAAACACCGTTATCGTTGCGAGTCGCCGTTGAATGACGAAAACGGTCGGCCGTGATCGATATATACGTATATAGGAAATGGAACGGAGAAACTCTGAGATCGCACACTGTTATACATAACACACACACTTACTTCACCGCGAAACTTGACCGTGTTTTCTCATTGTCGACGGACGAGGAGAGAGTGAGAGAGAGAGAGAGAGAAAAGCCGAAGGAGGGAGAGAAAGACAGAGAGCCCGCCACACTGCACTCCGCGCGCGCGCCAGCCGACAGCCGCCGCCGTTGTTGCCGTCCTCCTGTCTACTGCGTCATTCTGCGTCCCGCGAGCGACTGACAAGCCAGCGGACGACAGTGGCTATGATGTCACACATACGCACACACGCGTACACGAACACACACACACACACACCACACACGCGCGCGCACACACACGCTCTGAGTGCGACCGCGCGCGCGGAAAACACGCGAACGGACGCGGGCGTCCTCCTTCGTGGAGGAGGGGGGGAGGGGGAACGCGTCGCGATTCTCTTCCCGTGCCGCCCGCGGGAAAGGGCAGGAGGAGCAGAGACGACTGACGAGCTCAAGCAGCAACAGCAGCAGCACGACGGAACGGAACAGAACGACCGCTCCTCGGATCCGATCCGTCCGTCGTACCTCGGGCGCGCGCACGGGCGACTTCACAACACACTTCGCGTTCGCGCGCGCGCGCGCGAGAGACACTTCGCTTCTTCTCCTCTCTCTCGCGTCCTTCCCTCCGCGCTCGGCTCCGTTCCCCTCCGGATCCCACGCGCTGCTTTTGCTCGAGCAAACGGCGCGGCACGGCGCGGCGGGGCACCGCTGGCTCTGGCACCACAAAGGAGAGGCGACTACGGCACGTACATACACGCGCGCACCTCTGCCCCTTCCCCTTCACGCGCCGCGCACACGCACGCACACGCGTACAGGCGCAGCGATACGTCGGGAGGGCTAGGAGGGAGGAAGGGAGAAAGACAGTGCTCCGCGATTTCTCGGAAGCAGAAACGGGCGGGAGGACGCGCAGATTCGCCGCTGATTACAGTCGGATATATATTACAAACGATTCGCGCACGCATTCGCATGCACCCGTACGCACGCACGTACGTATGTGTATATACGCACTAACGTCGCGCCGCAGCCACCACCGCGGTCCGTTCCATGTTCGGAGGAACGAAAACAATAATCAGCTGATTCGACGGCTGGGTCTACTCCGCGGGGAGTAGAGTGGCGGGAGACGCCGACCGATGGGTACCGCAATCGGAAACGGAACGCGAGCGCCGCGCGCTTGTTCTCCACGCGATCGTTTTATAGATGTGAAATATACCTTTTCTTTCTTCATGTATTCCCCCCCCCCCCTCCCCTCCTCTTCTCTCTCCCCAGGATCTCGACTTTCCTTTATCTCCTTTCTTTCTAAAAATAATAAATAACAGAAACGATAAAAAAAAGACAGGATAGAAATGACAAACATTATTCTTCATAAGAATTTTTTTTTCCTTTTTCCATTTTCTTTATTCTATTTTCTCTATTTAAATGAACTTAGCCGATATGTATATATGTTGGTTACATAGTTATAGAATGTAAATATAAATATTAGTTTAAAATTTTAATTTAAATTGTCCAAATGACTATCATATATTTTCACTTATCTCCAAGGCTTTTAATTTATACACATACAAATGATGAAAAAAATTTATTTATTCGTGCCTGACTGCGTAGTATAAAAATAATTAAAATTATCTGAATGTCAACCTTTTAATTATACATTCAAGTGTAACTGCAAATACACTTCCCTTCCCTATCCCTTATAATTTATACGAAATACGTACATGATTTGAAAGGAAATTGTTTAAGAAATCATTATCGGCTAGGTTCATACGAATATTTTCTCCCTACTTTCGGAACATTTCAAATCTGTTTCGATCGGAAACGTCACAAAAGACTATCACAAAAAAAAATTAAGTAAGAAGAGAGTTTACTTTAAAGATGTATGCGTATGTTCGAATCGTTCAACAATCGAGATGAAGCCACTTACAACAATCATTGCAAGCGATTCTGCATATCGCGGAATCGATTTATCCGCTTGTCTAAAACAAAACATCGAAATTTGCCGTCTCGAATAATCATTAATAGTTATCAGTACAATTAATAATGCGTAGACAGACAGCGGCCACGACAACGATCCGCGGGATAAATAAGGAGCGAAAATAAACTGCAATCATTGTAGTAATGTCTACGAGTAATCGTTGCGATGACGTGTCGAAAGTTATGCGCGCGGCGTAAACAACGCAATATCGGTTGACAGCGGAATACGGCGGAGCAACATTGGAACGAGGCTACGAGGTGACGCAAGTGACACAGTGACAAGACATTTAACGCGGACGCGTTGATGACGGACGGACGGATCTCCGTGAAGCTGGCTGGGCCGTCGCGAAACCGTCAGCTGACATCAGGTTGATCAGGTGATCGCTGACGTACGCGCACCACTTTACGCGCATCGCGTTTAAAGGGACCGTCGCGCACTCCGTAAACATAAGAACATTTTTTTGAAAGTTTCAAACGTAATTAACCGATATGCGTTATCACACTTTGATGGATAACTGCTAATTATATATTGTTTACTCTGTTTCGTTTTTGTTTTTACGTTTTCTTACTGTATACCTATATATATATATACACGAGTTCCGGATAAACGGAGCGCGTATATACCAAGAGAACGAGATTGCCTTTCTAATGCAACATCGAACATTTTTTTTCTTTTCAAGCTGCCTACATATCAACAATCGCATCATGTTTGCCGTGACCTGCTTTAATTTTGTTGCAATTATGCTGATATGTAATGTCACCGCCGCCGCTGCCGCCGCGCGACCGAACATCTTGTTGATCATCGTGGATGATCTGAGGACCACTTTGGGATGCTACGGCGACGTCAACGCGTACACGCCGAATATAGATGCCCTGGCTGAGAACGGCATCGTTTTCACCGAAGCATTTGCACAGGTCTCTGCACCTCATACTTGTATATATATAGGATGATCTTGATCCTTTCGCTCCTTCTCGTTCGGATGTACTTATGTAATTAAAGCGGATGATCGTTTTGCAGCAAGCGTTATGCGCGCCTAGTAGGAATTCCTTTTTGACGGGCAAAAGACCGGACACCCTCCGACTTTACGATTTTTATAGCTACTGGCGCGATGCAGCGGGCAATTACACCACGTTGCCGGAGCATTTGAAAAACAATGGATATACCACAATGTCCATAGGGAAGGTGTTTCATCCAGGTATAAGAGAAGGAATTTACATCCCAAACAACACGTATATTTAAAAAACATCATATAGACATTTTGTAGATATGCGTGTTGTCTGCTGGGATGTTACAATTTTTGTTTTATATAAGTACATTATTTCACGTTAAATTTCAATACGCTGCCTAGATATATATAGCACAGGAAGTTCAAAAAGAATTCAGTCGCATGTCATTAAATCTGTAATTAATTTTCAAAATGCAACAAATTTTTCTAGAAGTTCTGAAAAAGAATTCTTTTTGCACCTGAAAATGAACTCAGAAATGACATACAATTGAATTAATATATAAATGAATTCTTTCTGAACTCTTCATGCTATCTGGGTGATTAGAACGAATTTGTTCGAACTCCAATTAATTTAACTCTATGTTGCGTAAATTTTTTTTATTTATTTTAGTATATGGAGATTTTTAGGGTCATTGATTGCAAATCTAAAATCAAAATTTAAAAAGTCAAAATGATAGATTCAACATCGCTGGTAAAAAAAAAGTGTCAAATATATATGTTATACAAAGCAATTATGAAATACATAATAACACAGAAAAACTGCAAAAAGTGTCCCATGTAATGCATATAAGCACTATGCAACAAAGAGTTAATTAGGTTAATTAATTCAACTGGTCGAGTTGGAATTGCTGCTTACAGCAAAATTTCTAACTGTGTTCCTGTTGTTTTTAATCTCTAATCTTTATGTTCGTAATTTTAAACAATAAAAAATCAATGACTCCATTCGTATTTTAACAAAACAGTATAGGTATTTGATAAGTTGTTCGGCGATTAAGTTAATTGGAGTTTGACTGAAGTCACCCTTATTCGTCTTACTGAGAATCGCGTATCGAATATCTTATCTTGGTTTGCGAATCAAATTATATGTACATATGATACGAGCGGCAGGCCAGTGACATCTGAGAAGCAAATGTTTTGCACAGGCATAAGCTGTAACGGATCCGACGACAGTCCCTATTCGTGGACCGAGAAACCTTTCCATCCGTATACAGATCGATACAAAAATGCTCCGGTCTGCAGGACGATTCCGCAATCGGAGGCGGCAACGAATCTCGTAACGCGCAATATTTTCACGTGTTGCAGCCTACACGGGAACATACCTCTAATATATCACATTTACATTGCAGATATGCCCGGTGCGCGTCTCGACAATGCCGAACAAAACGTTACCCGATCTTGAGACGTTACGAGAGGCGAGAAGATTCGTACATGAGCATAGGAAAGATGTTGTTCCCTTCTTTCTGGCCGTTGGCTTTCAGAAGCCTCACGTGCCTCTAAAGTATCCTGAGCACTATTTAAGTATACTTCAACTTCTATCAATATACTGACATATAATAAAATTAGAAACATTATCTAACAAGATAAGATCTTCAACTCGAAAATTCAAAAAAAAAATTATGAAACTTTAGCAATGCATAGAGGGTATCCTGATATGAAATACGCATTTCTTTTGCTGCCCGAATTCACCCCTAGAGATAAAATCAACCTCTGTAAATTAATTTATTTTGTTTTATTAATCATCAACAAGAGGAAACAATACGAAAAACAAAAAAGCAAGGCCAACTTTCAAGAGTTAATTTGAATTTGGGCAACAAAAAAAGGGATATTATACATATTAGGACACCCTTTATTGTTAGTTTCATAATTTTTTTAAATTTCCAAAATGAGATCTTCGCTTGTGAGAGAATAATTTCTTTACAATTTAAATTCGATAGTTTTAATAATATTTTCTACAATCTTCTTAAACAGAAGAAAGCATAATGACTAATATAAAATTTGTGTTCTGAACGCGGTGCAGAATATCATCCTTTACGAAAATTCACGATACCTGAACCGTATTTATGGCCGAACAACGTAAATGACGTTGCTTATAATCCCTGGACCGATCTCCGTTGGAGAAAAGACGTGGCAAAGTTAAAATTAAAATTTCCATGGGAGAGAATGCCAAGTATGCCGCGTGATTGATATATTTATTTCATAATTAAACATATATATCTCTACATTTTTGTTCCTCGGTTGTCATCACTATTTTCAGAAAGGTTTGCTAAGCGAATTATCCAATCGTACTACGCAGCCGTGTCTTATATCGATAATATGATCGGTAAGCTTATACATCAGCTACACACTTCGATGATCCGAGAAAATACTATTGTAATATTAACATCCGATCACGGTACGTTTAATCGATGAAGTAAAATATATATATATACACACACACAGACGTGTGTATTACACAGTTTGATATTATTAAATATATATAGGTTGGGCACTTGGAGAACATGCTGTCTGGTCTAAATATAGTAATTTCGACGTTACCGTGCATGTACCTTTGATAATGTCAATTCCAAAGGTTACATCTGATTTCGATATGAATTACGACGCTATACCTATAGATCGTATGCGGTACAATGCGCAGATTACAAACAGTCGGAATAAAACGGAAAATAAAATCAACTCGAGATACACATCAAATGCGGGAGAGGTCGATGTGCCGAATACAAGTACAGAATATGCAAAGAAATATAAAAAAACTGTCTCGGGAGCGTATATCCGACGAGGGCACGATAAATCTGCGAGCGGTGCGTTACACTCTAAAAAGCACTGTCGCAAAGTCACAGACGCTATCGTGGAGCTCGTCGATATATTTCCGACGATCGCGGATCTGGCGGGCGTCCCCATACCGATATGCCAAGTTAACAGTACGTACGATCGTTCGAGAGGTACTCAGGCTCGAAAAGAGATGCCCGATCCTTGTGGCGAGGGTATTACACTCTTACCGCTTATAAAAAGTATCCTAAAATGTCAGGTAAGGCATACACTTTTTATTGCATTGTCAATTGTACAAACGTTTTTTTTTTTTTTTATACAAAGCAAGGGTTCTCCATCCTTATGTATATATCTGTCCCCGTAATTTGCAAATATTCTATTAGAGCGTATCTTGGAAAAAGGCGGCGTTCAGTCAGTATCCAAGACCAGGAATTCAACCTACCCTCCATCCCAACAGCGACAAGCCCCGCTTAAGAGAGATAAACATAATGGGCTATACTTTGAAAACCGGCGATTATCGTTACACCGCCTGGGTACCGTTTGCACATACGACATGCAAACCGGACTGGAACGTTACTATTGCGGAAGAATTGTACGATCACAAAATTGACAGGGCGGAAGATTTTAATATAGCAGCCTCGCCGAAAATGTTAGAAACAAAACAATATCTCAGAACGTTGCTAAAAGATGGATGGAGAAGCGCTCTTCCAAAATATTAAAATCATACTACGTTTTGATGTTACAATGCAATGCAGTGAACGATACCTTATATCTCTCTATTTTAAATGTTTAAAAGATTTCTCTGTCTGTGTGTGTGGGTGTGGGGCGTGCAATTAATAAATTACATGAATATGTATTAAAATTAAAAAGTTATGCTTTATGAATATAATCAATCGTAACTTATTTTATGATAAAAAATTGCTAATAAAATTACGGAACATTTGTTACCACAATATATGCATGTTAACTATAAAAAATGTTTGGAAAACAGGTATTATTATTTACACCCAACAATTAAAGACAGAAAACAAAAATCAATTCTATTCTAATAGTAGAGATTCTAACAAACTGTAAAATATAAAGATCTTTTAAGTGACTTTTACGTAAAGCCTCACTGTGCATTTTTTGTAATACATATAAACTATACGGTTCTTTTTTTTAATTCTTCTTTTGCTTACACAAACTAAAGCCTCGCTATAATGTAAATGTTTAACATGCTCGCTATGTAAACGTGATATATGCTTCCTCACAAATGTATTTGAGTGTGCAGGGTGAGGCACTGCAAACATGCCACCTGAATAACTTTACATATTTGACAAGAGAAAAAATGCTTCAAACAAAACCTGCAAAATATTTAAAGGCATTCAAAGGCAAGCATTTTTTATTTAAAAAAATCAATTCTATTTAAAAAAAATGAAGATTCCTCCTTATCCCTCCGATCAATAATTATGTCATTTTCGGACACTTTTTTTATAAAATTAAATAAGTTTCCTTAAGCACTTTTCCCTACCATTAAAAATGAGTTATTTAGCTGGCTTGTTTTAATTGCCTTACCTTGTATTATCCTGCACTGTATAATAAAATCTTGAAATAACTACGTACCTAGATTTGATTATATAAATTAATCTTAACACACTGTTATCATAATTTTTTATATTACATAGGAAATTAACAGAAAATATAAATAATATCGTATACGGTTTATGCACTTATCTCTCTCAATTTATAATTGAGATTTATATCGTCCTAAATTAATAATATTATCGCATAAAATAATACGTACAAAACATTCGTGTATGAAGTCTACTCCTCCTGCATTTTACTGCTATCAATTGGTTGTGTAGCCACTTGTGCGCTACTCATCCCGCCGCCCTGGCGTGCTACTCCCGCGTTACTTGTAGTAGGAATCACCTGTAAATAAATTTAAATAGCATTGTAATTACAAATTCAGGTATTATCATCGTAATTCAAACAAAATGGCACAATAGCACATGTATCGTACCTCCATGATCTCTTGGTCCGTGTTTCCGCCTGTATTGTTAGTCGACGGGGTTTGTCGATATGTAAATGGATTTGGAAGTAAATCTCCCATCTGTGCACCGCTTGGCTGCGCAGGTTTATTCGCGTTCGTATAATTCGCCGAATTCGCCGAATTCCCCGTGAGCAATTGGTTCAACTGAGAGACTTGTGACTATAAAAAAAAACATGAAAAAACAAATAAATAATTATTTAAAGAATGCACGATTCGATTATGTACGAACAACATTTACATTTACATTTACATGCATATTATTCGTGAATGCATTGTTCGTGAATGTATTGTTCGGAACTTGTGGCCTTTGTTGAAAATTCGGAGCTTGTGGTCTTTGTTGAAAATTCTGTAAAAAAATATGTCATAAAAATTACGCGTACTATATTTTATATACATATACACATAGGCATATTATATTTCAAAATAAAATATTTTAACACGTATATTACTTAATGTATATTACTTAAAAACAGTTAAAAAATCTTATAACTGGTATTATTTAAAACTACTTTGGTGAATTATTATTAATTTAAGTACATAATGCTACTGATAAATTAAGTATAATTACCGAAACGGAGAAAACTGGATTTCGTATTGCCTGCACAGGTTGTTTATTGTATAGCGTGGCTTGCTTCTCCCAATAATTGTACATATCCAGTATGGCTCGATTCGTCATCATTTTCTGTTGTTCTGGCGTCGCATGAGGATACTGTAAATTATACAAAATAATTTGTAAGTATAATTTGAATAATTATTTAATTACACACACACGTATGTATATATAAAGTGTTCCATTTTAGTTAAAACAGCCGATTTTCTCTGAAATGATTGATGATACAAAAAATATTTCAGATGAAAGTGAACCGATTTGGAGAGCGTATTTTGGTTAGTTGCTTTTTTCTAGATAGAAATGCTAAAAAAATATGAAGATTAAAATGGAACTTTTTAAAATGGAATTACATAAGTTTTTACATAATATGATTCCTCTAATTATTCTGCATGTAAAAGTAATAAGGTACGATTATCAAGAAATCAATAATTTAGAAAATATTTTATGTCAAAATTTAAATGATAAAGTATGAAATATTTCATAAAATATCGATTTTTTGATTATTTTATTTTAATATTTTTATATGCAGAATAAATTAAAAAAATCATTATGTACAAAAATTATATAATTATAGCGCTCCCACCTAGAAAAAAAGCAATTTGACTAAAATACATCTCCTTCGAAATTGTTTCACTTTCATCTGAAACATTTTTTGTATCATCAATCATTTCGGAGAAAATTGACGTGTTTTAATTAAAATGAGATACCCTGTATATTTAACAATATTTTTATATGATAGTACTATGCTTACATCTTTACGAATAAGCTGTTGGAGATCATCAAAATCAAACTGCGTATTTTGAGGCATCATGCTAGACTGTGCGGAGTTCATCATCATATACTGCTGCAGGAGCAAGTTGTTTTGATAGGTTGCATTTAACATTGGATTTATTGGCGGTTTTCCCTTTTTCTCCTCTTCATATTCTAACCAGGCCTGTTTGCGTTCCTCTTCGTCTAATTCCTCTTCAGCCTGTTAAATAATAATCTTTGTCACGTAAAATGTACGAATGTATTTTATTTACACGGAGAAAAAAAAATATTTTTCACCTTGTTCTCCAATAGAGAGTCATGCTCGTGGTAATTTTCTACGATATCCTTGAACTTCAGGAATATCTCCGCTAGCAGTCTATCCTTAGGCAAATTTAATGTAGGCCTTTCTTCATCGTTATACCCTTCAAACATATATAACTCATTTAGATTGTGATTGCTGTAGTGCCGTTCGATCTGCTGCTCGTCTACGACACGGCACGAAAGCGAGAGTTTCGTAACTTGGCGATTGTAAATCTTCTCCTCCATTGTTCCCGCGGCAAGAAATCGATATACGTAGCACGGCTTCTTTTGCCCGAACCTAGTGATCGTCGACAAAGATCAAAGACGATTAATACGAAATAAATTATAAAAAAAGAAAAGACAGTGGAAAACGCCGAAAGAGAAGTGTACCTGTATATCCGAAATATGCTTTGTACGTCGTGAGAGGGATTCCAGCTGGCGTCGAATATAATCACTCTGTTCGCCGCAGTTAAGTTTATTCCCAATCCTCCGGCACGTGTGGATATCAGGAATAATCTCGCTCTCGTATTGGTGGGTCTGTTGAATATCTTACACCACATACTCCGATTTTCAGGAGACGTCTGGCCGTCCAGTCGGAAGTAGTCGAGTCCCAGGGACCAACTTCCGGTATGATTATCGAGTGTCTCACAGGGTTCACCATTCTGAGTCTGATCGTCTATTCTTCTTAGAAATTCCTCGATTAAAGTGAGGGAATATAGAGATTGCGAGAATACGAGCCTGTCAAATGAGCAATAATAAATAACAGCAATGTGAAAATTATTTATCGAAAATCTAGGCACAAGATACATACACTTTATCACCGATTTGTTCACATTCTTTTAGAATTCCGAAGAGGAGTAATAGCTTAGCCGACACTTTTATGTCTTCAAAATTCTCGGGTTGCACAAACTGCAACCACCATTCTGCTTCTGCAGGCTGCTTCTCTTCTACAACCTCTTCCTCTGGTTCATCTTCTGAAAAATAATCAATTTATATATCTAATATCTTTATTTTGTTATTATTATTTTACATTATACATATTTGATTTAAGTGTATTATTTTCAGTTACTTTTTAAAATAAATTATAAAAAAATTTTCTGAGCTATTTTGTTTAAGAAGATCTGTATGATGATTTAAATGAAAATTTGAATTATTTTTTTAAATACCTTAAATAAGTTTTTAAAATGGGATAATATATATATTTTATTATAGTTTTTTGTAAGATATTTTATGATAAATTCAATAACGTACAATTTAATTTTCGATAGTCATTCATTGAGTTATTGTCACTGTAGTGTTGTTTTAGATATAAGCGGAAAAGACAAAATAAAAATATCATTAGAAACATATTTTAAACTTTTGTTTAAGTCATCACATAGATTTTTTTTGAAAGAAAATAACTTTTATTAAAAAAAATTTTTATAACTTCATTCACTAAGAAAAATAACTGAGTGCATACCAAGCATTAAACCAAATATGTATTTTGTCTTATTTTTATATCAAATTAATTTATTCTTCGACATCAATTAAAATATATAAAACACTGTTCTTATGGAGACTTACCGCCAGGGTTATTTCTCGTTCTACGTTTGGGAACATTTTCTGTTTCATCATCGATCGCCTGAACGTCACTGTCATTGCTCGAATCTGAAGTGCTATCTTCGTCGCTATCGTCATTAATGAAATCTTTTAACGAACCCTCCGATTCGCTAGAAAGGCCTCTTTTCTCATTTGCTTTTTCTATTTTCAGTGCGTTCAGACGCAGGACTACAGGATGCGTCCAGATCCTTTGTAACGCTTGAAAATCTGCGAAGAGAGTTCCTCCTTGACCAGATCCGCGTCTGTAAAAAAAAAAACATACAAAGTAATTACAATTCAATCTAATTTGAAAGCAACTGTATTTTAAGTCATTCAAATAATAGAACATGATAAAGATATAAGATCTTTAAGAGTCTCACCTGGCAAGATTCTCCAAGTAATATTGATACATTTTAATCTGCGTATCTGTCAGTCTGACAAAAATAACATATTCCTGTTTGGGTGGTAGGAACGGCGTTAGCACGGAGTAATCAAATCTTTGTACGCTACCCTCTAACATTTTGTGTAACACGTGAGCACGTTTTTTCATCAATTTAACGTCATACGCGGTAGAATCGTCGAACTGGCCGTTTGTTATTGGATTGACAAATCTGTTTAAAAATTCTCTCTTTGTACCCAGCAGATTGGGTTTCACAAACTGCACCATACAGTGATCTGCGAAATATCGTTAAGTAGATGTAAAAAATATTTAAAAACATATACGATTGTGCAAAAAAGTGCGTCTTATGGGATACTTACATTCTATTAGATTGTTCTGTAACGGTGTTCCCGTAAGTACAATGCGTCTCAGAGTTTTCACGCTCCTCATGCATTTACTTAACGCTGTATCTTCGTTCTTCAATAAATGGCCTTCATCACAGACAACGAGATCGGCACCCGGATCAACTAGACATTCCAATATCACTTCCTTCATGCTCTTCCGAATATTTCTATTTGGACCCGTAAGATTACGGAACATCTCATAGCCGAGGATCATTACGCCACCGGTCTTCTGCCATCTCTGCAATTGGCACTTTCTCTCAAAATTCTTCTTGAATCTGAAAATATTTTCTTATTCAAATAACTGCCATCAAAACTCTTGCCGAATTGCATATTATTTGGATACAGATAATAAGATGATTTGTGTGAAACGACTTGTGGACATTAAGAGTTGATTGAATTTGAGATCAAATACTCACTTTGTCAGTTCGTACACCTCGACATCATCCAAATCCTTCAACCATGTGTTGTACTCATTTAGCCAATTAAGTACCGTGCTTAACGGGCAAACTATTAGTACTGTCTTAATGTTCGTCGCCTCGTGAGTGAGAAGAGTGTGTGTCAGGGCGATCACTTGTAGCGTCTTGCCCAAACCCATGCAGTGCGCGATTATACATCCAGATCCGGATGTAGACTTTACCCTTTCTAAAGACTCGAAACAAGCGTCCCACATAAATTTGATGCCTTGAGCTTGATGCGGCTTCAGACGCTTCACCAATTCCTCGTGTACAGTAACGAGCTCCTCTTTCGTCTCCGTATCGAAGTCTAAAACGAGCTTGTCTACTTTCTCTTCGCCGGCGAGTCTTATCTCATACATCTCGTTGTACTGTAATAAAAGGTATTTACGTATAATAAACGCGTTACTGACAAATGAAAGTTGATAACGTGGTTGCGGGATATACCACAGCTTGACGTTCAGCGATACGTTTAAGCCTCTCCTCCTCTTCCTTAGCGGCTAGTTTCGTATCTTCCGCCACTTGCTTGTCCTTCAGAACTTTCCGTATATTTTTACGGCCACTTTTACCGGGCGTGGATCCCTGCGAGTTCTTCATTTCCGCGTTACTGCTGTCACTGTCAGACGCCATTTTCTTGATACGCTTTCGTTTCGGTTTTGATCTATAAATTATGTCAAGCTTAAGCATACAGAAGCACAAGGCAGAAACAGAATAGATAAATGTAATATCAACTGACTTCTTTTCTGCAAACGAAGAATCTGTATCTGACGAATCACCGCGTTGTTTGCGTCTCTTCCGTTTCTCCTTTTCTTTCCTCGTACTGCTTGAATCGCTTGAATTTTGTTTGGCACTTGATGCTTCAGAAATGTTATCAGAATCCGAACTGCAATCGGTTATTTTGATATCTGAATCTGAATCTAAGATTCTTCGCCAGGCCTGCTTTTTCTTCTTCTTAGATTTGAAAGACTTTTTCTCGTTAGCGGAATCGCTACTGCAAAGAATCAGGAACAAGATTATATACATAGTTTTCAAAAGAAAATAAAATTAATTAATAAAATTAATAAGAAGAATAAATTAAATGACTTACTTATTTTCTTTCGATTTATTTGCAAGCTTTTCTTGTTTCTTCTTCCATTTTTCTCTTTCGGCATCGGAATCAGAATCAGAAAATTTCTTTGTTAATATCTTGTCTCGCCTCCAATCGCTTTTGTCTTTCTTACTCTGAAACATTTTGATCAAAAAGAATTACATTTCTTGCAAAACTTATTTTTTATTTTATTAAGAAATTTACGATATAATAGTTAATAGTTTAGAAGCAGTTTTTCTATTCTAACTAGTGATTTGATTTTTAGTAACTAGTGACTTTCCTCCTTATAATTCATGTATTGATGTTTTAATAAAAAATAAGAAAATGTCTTACGTCATCTTGTTTTAAAGTTTTTTCCTCAGGCTTCTTTTGATATTTCTTTTTCTTGTCCGCTACTTTTTCATCTTTATCCTCATTGTTTATGTTATCATCGCTGTCTAGTAGCACTTCTTTTTCTAAAGTTAAATAATATATATTTATGATAAACTATATGTGATCATAAATAATATATATTGGGTTATTTTTAATATTAAGATTCAAACTTAAAAATTAAAAAACGTTGTTGAACATTATTTTCAGCAAGATTATCAGATTTATGAGAAGTCAAATGATCAATAAAAAATAACAATTAAATGAAAAAAATAATCTTGTTTACAGATACTAAAAAGTAAATCTAATTATTTAAAACTGGCATTTTTATATTAAGAAATAAACAAGTTTATTAATTGCAGAAATTAAAATTTTTTAAATATTGTGATAAATTAATCATCAACAGATAAATAAAAACTTTCTCGTTTACTCGAATAAATTTTACATTAGCAGAAGTTTCATTTGTAATTCAAATTTAACATAAACTTAACGAATTTAAAGATTAAGAAGTTGTGATAAAATAAAAAGATGTGGAATCTTTTTCACAAATGCCAAATGTTTTAAAACGAGATATTAATCGAGAGAGAAGTTCTGTAATACTTTAAATGTTTTATTTTGAAGCAAGTTTCATACACAATAATTCTATCTCTATTAATACCAAATTACTTACCATCTGAATCAGAGGAATTTAACAAATTCTCTTTCGCGATTCTATCTGCCTCTGATATTAGAGCTTCGTTAGACATAGGTATATCGTCTATATTTTTTATTTGACAAATTGATTCTTCGGTATCAGAATTCGTTTCTACAGTTACCACGACATCGCTGTCCTGTACTCTTTCAAAATGATCCATCAAAGTCTCTTCTT